TCTCCTCTTCTTCAAGATTCTCCTTTGTATGGACTGATGAAGCCACTGTGTGGCGAAACGTTTCCTCAATAAAGATACCCAAGAGTTGCACATGTGTCTAAATATCAACATGATATTTACTGATATAAGGAGAGTCAAGTTTTTAGAATTGTTCAACAGAACTAATATTGAATAGAAAACTGCCACACAGTGCCCCATCCAGGTTAACTAATAACGCTATCAATGGTAAAAATCACTACTTAATATTACGAATTATGGCGAACCGCAAGATGTATAAATAATGGGCAGGAATTTTCTAGGGTTGCGTCCCCTCAAGGAAGGTTCGTTGATGTTGGTGAGGGGGCTCTTGATTTAGGGAATTGGATCTGTGCTCCAGTTCCCCGAATTAAGCCTGAATGCCTTCCACATCCCCCCCCCAGGCGCTGTATAATCCTCCGGGTTTAGCGCTTCCCCCTTGATTATAATAATAATCTAGGGTTGCGAAAGATTTATTTTTGCAAAATATTGCGAATTTGGGCCAAGACTTGCTGATTTACTAAACTAAAATTAATGATTAATCGACCTCTTTATCTACGCTTTCAAATTCTGGAAACTGCCAAAAAGAAATTTTATTATTTTTGATAAAAATTGTTATATACAGATACAGATTCTTACATATTCACTAAAACGTCAAGAATTGCATACTATAATGGGAGTGGGAAGGCCTAGGTGGCAGCACCAGCATAGCGCGAAATATGATCTAAGCTGGCAGACGATCGACACCATGCCTAACCCTTCTAGGATAGGGTAGGTGCCTGAGCCCGAGCCTTTAGCTCATAAGACTGTCATTCCCATTAGCCCCCTTGAGGCGGGGATGGCAGACCAGAGAGGCCTAGCTTGTGGCTAGGCCTGGGGACAGTTGGTCCCAAAGATGAGGAGGTACTTGTGCCTCCTCCCATGGAAGACTTAGGTCTCAGACACTCCCTAAAGAGGGAGCCAAAGCCGGGCCACCACTTGGAAAAGGCCCGGGCCGGGAGAATACCGGCTAATCTTTAATAATAATAATACTAAGCTGGCAGACAGCATGGGCTGTCTGTGCAGACAGTACAGGCTGTCTACAATACCGAGTTAAAGAGAGAACCATTATCATCACATCTGAATTTCTAAAAAGTATCCTCATGATCATCCATTGTATAACAATAGCAGGAAAGGCGATCTGGAGCTATTGAAATCATAGACTGGAGATTATATCAACAAGCAAGTGTGTCTGAAGGCTAAAATATACTCTGCAAAGTTAAAGTTATTAGGACTAACGGGACCCCGTCTCATTTCAGGCCTTAATTAGCCCATACTCGCTATAACAATGTTTTGATTATCACTAATATAAAAGATGTATGTACAGCATCAGTTAAAAGGAGAGGATCATTGGGATGTAGCCACCCTGACATCCCTTCCCCAAAATGAAGAACTGTGAACTAGGACCCCCTCAAGGAAGGTTCCTTGATGCTGGTGAGGGGCTCTTGATCTAGGGAACTGGATCTGTGCTCCAGTTCCCTGAGTTAAACCTGAATACCTTCCATCCCTCCCCCAAGCACTGTATAATCCTATGGGTTTAGTGCTTCCCCCTTGATTATAATAATAATAATGTGAACTAGGATGCCACTGGTTGATGTAGGCTTGTGTCTGTTTTTTTTTTAATAATTATTGTTGCTGATGTATAAAATTATATTTTTTTTAATGTTTTATCATTTATGTTGTATTTCTTGAATAAAAATTGTAAAAAATATTTTTAGTGTATTGTTTTACCCATTTGTCTGATGGTGCACACCTCTGAATGCTGGGCCCAGGAGCTGTAACACAATTTAACTATGAGACCGAAGAGCCAGAAAAATAACATAACAGTTCAGCAGCTAAATACTATGTAATTTAACTCTAAAAAATATAGAGTTATACCTTATAAAGGGGACAGGTGCTTATCTCTGGGAACTGAGAGCTGTAGTGTATACTAAACCTTATGTATATATCAGTTAAGGTCTAAATTTGTTCATTAAAGTCTGAAACTCTAAAGACATCAAACTCCAAAGTTCATTTACTTGAATCTGAAAAAAATAAATTCAAAATTGAATTTTGCAAATTATGGAAAACTTGATCTGAGGAAATGGATCTCGAGGGGGAAGGGAATGAAACCTCAAACCCATAGAGAACCCAAAATTTTGAAAAAAAAAATAGAATTTCACATAAACAATTGGGGAAAACTTGGTCCAAAGAATTGGAGGTGGCATGATAGACCCTGAGGGCGTTTGTCATAGACCCTCAGATATACCATAGGACAGAAAGTTCAATTTTTGGAAAAAACGGAAAAAAATGTGGGGGGGGGGGTAAGAACTAACTTCCAGTTCACTTCCACATCATAGTGTGATACATCAGTACACAAATAACCCGCACGTTTCGGTCCGACTTGGACCATTTACAAAGTCACACTATTTGGGTTATTTGTGTATTATTCCAGTCATGGTATTGTGCTTTTTTTTGTTATTTTGTGATACATCATAATGGGATCCAACACCTTAATTCACTCCTTGGTTAATATAGTAATTATTACTTTAATTGATATATTCAAATTCAAAAATATTCTCTATATAATTATACAGAGCATGTGTCAGGCATTTATTGACCAAACCCGGGTATCAAAATTATGGTTCATGTGAGGAGATATTGGTGATGTATAGCCATAAAGGAGGAGACCAAACAGACTTGAATAACTATAGGCCAATATCCAACTTACACCCTCTCTCTAAAATCTTCGAAAAATTAATTCATAAGCGTATCTATTCCTACCTCATCTCCCACAACATACTCAACCCCTGTCAATTTGGATTCAGGCCTAATAAAAATATTAATGATGCTATTATACACATGCTAGAACATATATAAACTGCAATAGAGAAAAAAGAAGTCCCACTGGGGATCTTCATTGACTTACGTAAAGCTTTTGATACAGATGACCATGACTTGCTCTACGTAAAATTGTCGCACTATGGTATAAGAGGGCACTCCCTCAACTACCTCAAGTCTTACCTCAGCAACAGAAGCCAACATGTGTACAAAAATGGGGCAAACTCTTCCGCACAGCCAATTACAGTTGGTGTCCCACAGGGAAGTGTCCTAGGCCCTCTTCTCTTTCTCATATACATAAATGACCTACCAAATGCATCGCAACTACTCAAACCCACACTATTTGCAGATGACACTACATACGTCTACTCTCACCTGAGCCCAGTCATGCTAGCCAATACTGTAAATACCGAATTACAGAAAATATCAACCTGGATGAGGACCAACAAACTTACTCTAAACATTGACAAAACCTACTTCATTCACTTTGGTAACAGTGCTGCAGATGTGTCTCTTAACATAATGATAAACGGATCACCTATCACAAAACTCACAGAGGGAAAATTCTTAGGAATCCACCTTGATAATAGACTCAAATTTCAAACACATATACAACAAATTTCCAAAAAAAATTCCAAGACAGTAGGCATACTAACGAAGATACGGTACTATGTTCCACAGCCAGCCCTCCTGGCCCTATATCACTCACTTATTTACCCCTATCTCACCTATGGAATTTGTACATGGGGCTCAACAACAATAAACCATCTCAGACCACTAATCACCCAACAAAAGGCTGCAGTCAGAATGATAACAAATTCCCACTACAGACAGCACACTCCACCAATATTCAATACACTAAACCTACTCACCATACAAAACATCCATACTTATTACTGCACCTATTACATACATAGAACACTTAAATCTGATATTAACCCTCCCCTCAAACATCTCCTTGCCAACCTCAACAGAACACATGACCATAATACAAGGCACAGATCACTCTTTGATGTTCCTCGTGTCCATCTCACACTATGCAAAAACTCAATGCACATAAAAGGCCCTAAAATCTGGCATTCATTACCTGTGAATATAAAAGAAATACTGTCTGTTTATAAATTCAAGTCTCTTCTCAAAAATCACTTACTCACCCACAACTAATACTGAATACTTGTATCTCATAAATTGTATCTCATATATGTATCTCATTATTGTATCTCATAAATGTCAACCTGTGACCCAATCAAACTTTGTTACTATTTAACTTCATTACCTAACATAATACTCCATTATACTGATTACACAGCAACACAGTAAATGACCACATGACCTGTCTTTGTAATACTCATTTGTACTAAATTATCTGTTTTACAATAATTTTTGTACCACTGAATATATCATTGCTTAGTTAATCTTAAGTTAATTAAGCCTGCCCATAATGCTCTGCATACAAGGGGGCTTTGGCATGTTGCACTTTAAAAATTATATTCCTTGTACTTCTCTGTATCATGTTCAGATTAAATAAATAAATAAATAAATAATAAATAAATAAATACTGATTGTAGAGCAATGCAAGCAACCATACGACCTGTTTTTGTAATACTCATTTGTGCTTAATTGTTATCTGTTTACAATAATGTTTTACCACTGAATATATCATTGCATAGTTAATCTTAAGTTAATTTTAAGCCAGCCAGTAATGCTATGCATTCAAGTGGCTTTGGCATGCTGCATTTAACTATTCTTTTGTTCTTCTCTGTATCATGTTCAAATAAATAAATAAATAAATGGCACTTCCCTTACAATATATTCGGTTGCCTTTGAAAACATTTTTATACAGTTTTATTATTTTTGATGTAATATCCGTACGGATATTACACAAAAAAGTGCCGCAGTTAATTTGTCAACCATTTATCATCGTGGTTATATGGTGCATTAATTCATTAATTAAAATATTCTTTATTCCTTTATCTAAATATCACTTCTTCCTCCAACTGAACGTTCCTTAAGGAGACCAGAGACTTTCAATTTATAAATTGACTGTTGACCACAAGATAAAAATTAACATCTTCGATATATCTTAAGAACACTCAGTTACCTGAATATCAACGATATTAACTCACGTGAAACAAGGCGTTAAGAAGGCGAGGGAGAGGAGGACCATGACTCCTGTGACCAGACCTCCAGCAGGAGTCCGCACTCCACTTGTCTCGTTAACTGCTGAACGTGACAAACCTCCTGTTATAGGTATCGATCTGTTGGTGTGACCCATGTATATTAGTTCCATATACAGTGGACCCCCGCTTAACGATCACCTCCAAATGCGACCAATTATGTAAGTGTATTTATGTAAGTGCGTTTGTACGTGTATGTTTGGGGGTTTGAAATGGACTAATCTACTTCACAATATTTCTTATGGGAAAAAATTCGGTCAGTACTGGCACCTGAACATACTTCTGGAATGAAAAAAGTTCGTTAACCGGGGGTCCGCTGTATATATTAAATCCATATATAATGAGGAGAAAATGGAACTGAATAGCTTATAGTTTTTATAACTTGACTGTAAGAAATCTAATTATATAATAGTTTTTTGATACTGGCTATCACTGATATCCAATAATAGTTTTTTTTTGTGAAATGTTTAGCTCTAATGTTATCTAAATGTTAATAGAGGATATATTTTGGGCAACATTTCCGTGTACCCTTGATGTGATATGCTCACGAAATGTCGCCTTCCATAAATAGTATAAGCTTGAAGTATGTGTTAATGTCAGAATCTTACATACTAACATGGGATCACTTAAAACATTAGGTTATGCCAGCCCAAGACACTGTAGGTGGAGATCTTTCCCTCTAAGCAATGGCGGCTCACCAATAGGAGCTGCAAAGCTGCAGTCCCCCCAGATGCTCACTGCCAGACGTATTACTTCATCAACCTTACTCTAAAATAATTTGTATCTGACAACTATATTACAGGAAAAAATCTGTTACGATCGTATAGGAATTACGGGGGCTACGAGCCGCCATTGCCTTTGAGTTAAAGGTTATCTGTTTCTCAATATAAATACTTTAGGAACAAGAACAGTCTATCTCCTGTACTTGTTTGCTACTCTTCAGTGCTAAGACCATTAACAAGTGTAATGGAGGAGGTGAGGAGTAGTAAAAATAAATTTTATTCACCGAATTAAAGACTAATTCGAGAACCCAGTGGCTTACGATTCTGAGTCATTAGATGATTGAAAGTTAACAAGTGGAGCCAAGAACTAGAGCTCGACCCCACGTACACAGTGTAATTCACTGAAACACATTACACACTTATTTACATCTTTCTAAATAGCTATAAATTTTCCTGTACCTTTATTAATATACTGAAGGAGAAGAGGTGAACCTGGAAAGGTCATACAGCTGCTGGCAGTAATCAAATTTGATCCAGAGAGATGATAGCTCCACTTCTCTGGATCAAGAGACCTTCATCATTCATCAGCTTAGTGACACTCCTATCCCTCCTCCTCCTTAAAAGTAATTTATTCCTAGAAATGTAATTTAAAATCTTACCCAAAAAAGGATCCAATTGTAGTGGCGACGCCTAAAGTGATGATCTCCTGCGTAGCATCGAAGGTTTTTCCTTTAGCAAATACACTGACAATGGCAATAAGGTCAAGAATGGCAATGAATGGCACCATTGCTACACCAATGCCAATGTCGTTCATGATCTCCGTAAATGTTATGGTCTGGTTATTGATCTCAGTGGAGAATGGTGGAAGAGATGGAGTTGGGATTCCAGGCTCCACGTAACCTGGCACATAAAAAAAAAATTAAAATCATGGGATAAAGGGAAAGAAAGTCGAGGCTTCTCTTACCTCAGCCGTTCCCTTCCAGCCATCCCCTTCCAGCTGTCCCCTTCCAGCTATCACCTTCCAGCCATCCCCTTTCCAGCTGTTCCCTTCCAGCAGTCCCCTTCCCAGCTGTTCCCTTCAAGTCATCCCCTACTCAATCATTCCCTTCCAGCCGTCCCCTTCCAGCCATCCCCTTCCCAGCTGTCGCCTTCCAGCTGTCCCCTTTCAGCTGTCATCTTCCAGCCGTTATCTTCCAGCAGTTTGGCACTATATAATACCCCTGAGGTTACTTGTAATAGCAAGTGCCTAACACCCTGAAACAAGTGTCTAGCACCCTAAACCAAGTGCCTAACACCCTAAAACAAGTGCCTAACACCCTAAAACAAGTGCCTAACACCTAAAACAAGTGCCTAACACCCTAAAACAAGTGCCTAACACCCTAAAACAAGTGTCTAACACCCTAAAACAAGTGCCTAACACCCTAAAACAAGTGTCTAACCCCCTAAAAAACAAGTGTCTAACACCCTAAAACAAGTGCCTAACACCCTAAACAAGTGTTTTAACACCCCTAAAACAGTGCCTAAAAAACCCTAAAACAAGTGCCAAACACCCTAAAACAAGTGTCTAAACACCCAAAACAAGTGTCAACACCCTAAAAACAAGTGCTAACACCCTAAAACAAGTGTCTAACACCCTAAAACAAGTGTCTAACACCCTAAAACAAGTGTCTAACACCCTAAAACAAGTGCCTAACACCCTAAAACAAGTGTCTAACACCCTAAAACAATTGTCTAACACCCTAAAACAAGTGCCTAACACCCTAAAACAAGTGCCTAACACCCTAAAACAAGTGCCTAACACCCTAAAACAAGTGTCTAACACCCTAAAACAAGTGTCTATCACCCTAAAACAAGTGCCTAACACCCTAAAACAAGTGCCTAACACCCTAAAACAAGTGCCTAACACCCTAAAACAAGTGTCTAACACCCTAAAACAAGTGTCTAACACCCTAAAACAAGTGCCTAACACCCTAAAACAAGTGCCTAACACCCTAAAACAAGTCCCCTAACACCCTAAAAAAGTGCCTAACACCCTAAAACAAGTGTCTAACACCCTAAAACAAGTGTTCTAAACACCCTAAAAACAAGTGTCTAACACCCTAAAACAAGTGCCTAACACCCTAAAAAAAGTGTCTAACACCCTAAAACAATTGTCTAACACCTAAAAACAAGTGCCTAACACCCTAAAAAAGGGGCCTAACACCCTAAAACAAGTCCCTAACACCCTAAAACAAGTGTCTAAACACCAAAAAACAAGTGCTAACCCCCTAAAACAAATGTCTCAAAAGTCCACAATAATTTGGTTTACGAAAAGCCAGCATGATTAAGTAGGACACAGACACCAGAAAAAAAAATGAGGAAATTCTAGCTTCTGAACTTGAATTAATGTTAAGTCCTAATAGTATTAATCACCCGTATCACAATATGGGATTTTTTCCCTTTATTCTTTAATACAACTCATTAATTTTGGCAAAGTAAAGGAATTTAGTAAAATGAGTCTTTAATGAACTTTTTACTCATATGTAAGTTATATAAAGCACTACAGGACAAGAAGAGTATATAAACCTATCATAAAAGATTAACTTACATTACCCTCTATATAGGAGCACTTGCAAAGCATATATATAAACCCGCAAGGAACACTTCCAAGCATTATTAATTTCCCGCAAGAAACACTTCCAAGCATATATTTTACCAGCAAGAAACACTTCCAAGCATATATATACCAGCAAGAAACACTTGCAAGCATATATATCCTGCAAGAAACACTTCCCAAACATATATTATAAACCAGCAAGGAACACTTCCAAGATATATATACAGCAAGAAACACTTCCAAGCATATATATACCAGCAAGGAACACTTCCAAGATATATATACCAGCAAGAAAAAACTTCCAAGCTTTTATATACCAGCAAGGAACACTTGCAAGCATATATTACCAGCAAGGAACACTTCCAGGTTATTATATACCCGCAAGAAACACTTCCAAGCATTATATAACCAGCAAGGAGCACTTGCAAGCATATATATACCAGCAAGGAGCACTTGCAAGCATATATATAACCAGCAAGGAAAATTGCAAGCATAATATATACCCGCAAAAGGAACCTTCCAGGTATATATATACCAGCAAGAAACACTTCCAAGCATATATATACAGCAAGGAACACTTGCAAGATATTATACCAGCAAGGAGCACTTGCAAGCATATATATACCAGCAAGGAAAACTTGCAAACATATATTTTCCAGCAAGGGAACACTTTGCAAACATATATATACCAGCAAGGAGCACTTGCAAACATATATATACCAGCAAGGAGCACTTGCAAGCATATATATACCAGCAAGGAGCACTTGCAAGCATATATATACCAGCAAGGAGCACTTCCAGGCATATATATACCAGCAAGAAACACTTCCAAGCATATATATACCAGCAAGGAGCACTTGCAAGCATATATATATCAGCAAGGAGCACTTGCAAGCAATATATTACCAGCAAGGAGCACTTGCAAGCATATATTATACCAGCAAGGAGCACTTGCAAGCATATGTACCAGCAAGGAGCACTTGCAAGCATATATATACCAGCAAGGAGTACTTGCAAGCATATATATAACAGCAAGGAGCACTTGCAAGCATATATGTACCAGCAAGGAGCACTTGCAAGCATATATATACCAGCAAGGAGCATTTGGGGAAGCTATATATATACCAGCAAGGAGCACTTGCAAACATATATATACCAGCAAGGAGCACTTGCAAAGCATATATATACCAAGCAAGGAGCACTTGCAAGCATATATATACCAGCAAGGAGCACTTCCAGGCATATATATACCAGCAAGAAACACTTCCAAGCATATATATACCAGCAAGGAGCACTTGCAAGCATATATATATCAGCAAGGAGCACTTGCAAGCAAATATATACCAGCAAGGAGCACTTGCAAGCATATATATACCAGCAAGGAGCACTTGCAAACATATATATACCAGCAAGGAGCACTTGCAAGCATATATATACCAGCAAGGAACACTTCCAAGCATATATATACCAAAAAGAAACACTTCCAAGCATATATATACCAGGAAGGAGCACTTGCAAGCATATATATACCAGCAAGGAGCACTTGCAAGCATATATATACCAGCAAGGAGCACTTGCAAACATATACCAGCAAGGAGCACTTGCAAGCATATATATACCAGCAAGGAGCACTTGCAAGCATATATATACCAGCAAGGAGCACTTCCAGGCATATATATACAGCAAGAAACACTTCCAAGCATATATATACCAGCAAGGAGCACTTGCAAGCATATATATACCAGCAAGGAGCACTTGCAAGCATATATATACCAGCAAGGAGCACTTGCAAGCAAATATATACCAGCAAGGAGCACTTGCAAGCATATATATACCAGCAAGGAGCACTTCCAAGCATATATATACCAAAAAGAAACACTTCCAAGCATATATATACCAGCAAGGAGCACTTGCAAGCATATACTAGCAAGGAGCACTTGCAAGCATATATGTACCAGCAAGAAGCACTTTCAAGCATATATATACCAGCAAGGAACACTTGCAAGCATATATATACCAGCAAGGAACACTTGCAAGCATATATATACCAGCAAGGAACACTTGCAAGCATATATATACCAGCAAGGAACACTTGCAAGCATATATATATATATTCCGGAAAAAAGAACATCAATCGCCACAGAGGAACAACACCAGGAAATAAATATATGCCATAAAATGAGTAAGGAAGATTATATAAATGTCAGAGGGTGAGGTGGAAACTGTTGCTTTCTTATAATATTGCACGAGAATTTATATAGGTCTAGAAAGTCACCTGTATAAGGAAAAATGGTGAGTAGCGCTGTTGGTATCAAGCAAAATAGACGTCTCGTGGGACTCTCTCAACTCTCTCAAAGTTCCTGGGAGTTGCTGCCTACATCTGAAGTAAGTTTGGGTTCATATAGATGTTTGAGAAAGTATATTATTATTATTATAATCAAAAAGAAGCGCTAAGCCACAAGGGCTATACAGCACTGCAGGGTAGGGAAGGAAAGGAGGGTATTGGGCGGCAGAAGGGAGAAGGGATGATCAGTAGGTTACAGAAAACAGCGGGGCAGGGGATAGTGCGGGGGTAGAGGGTAGCAAGAGATTGAGGTAGAAAGTGCTGAAGGCATCAGTTTGTGAAGTAAGTCAGTTGTTGTCAAAAAGTCAATGAGAGAGTCCGGATGAAAGGTGGGTCCATCAGCGAGAAGGGAAGGTGAAGAGAGAGCAGCGGAGCGAAGCCAACGATGGAGGTAAATTCTGCGTGCTCGTTGATAAAGTGGGCAGTCTAACAGAATGTGGCTGACTGATAATAGAGCCTGACAATTCTCACAGAGAGGAGCAGGGCGCCTCTCCATGAGATATCCATGAGTAAGACGAGTATGGCCAATGCGAAGACGGGAGAGAGTAGTCTCCCAACCTCGACACTGGTGACAAGAAGACGGCCAGTAACCTATGCTCGGTTTAATAATTTGAAGTTTGTTACCGAGCATAGTAGACCAACGTTGTTGCCAACGGGTGTGAAGGTGGGTAGCTATTGCAGCAAAATAGTCCGTAAATGGAATACCTCTATATGAAACTGGTAGGTCATGTACTGCTGACCGCGCAGCAGTGTCTACCTGTTCATTGCCCTGTACGTCAACATGACCAGGGACCCAACAAAAAACAATATCTTTATGCTTGGTAAAGATGCGGCATAGCCAAAGTTGGATATGGAGGACTAAGGGGTGAGGTGTATCAAATTTTTGTATAGCCTGTAAAGCACTAAGGGAGTCTGAGACAACCACAAATGATGACACAGGCATAGATGCAATATGGATAAGTGCTGCAAGAATGGCATACAATTCAGCAGTAAAAATACTAGCCGAAGATAGTAAATGCCCTCGTACGACGCTGTCCGGAAACACTGCTGCGAATCCTACACCGTCCGAAGACTTAGAGCCATCTGTGTACACTGCAATGGCATGAGAATGAGAGTGGAAGTGGTCAAGAAAAAGAGAGCGGGAAGCGACCGTAGGCAGTTGGGCTTTCGAGCAAGGGAGTGAGAGAGAACAGACTCGAACAGCTGGAACTTCTCAGGGGGGTAGGGAAAAGTGAGATGCTACATGAACATAGAAAGGTGGTAATTGAAGAGAAGACAAGAGCGAATGTAGGCGAAGAGAGAAGGGACGGAGTAAACAGGGGCGGCAAACAAATAAAGAATGTCTACTAATATCAATGACCATTCTATAAATGGAAGGATTGCGGAGATCATGAGAGCGTACATAGTAGCGAAGGTAATGGGCATCACGGCGATCGGATAAGGATGGAACGTTCGCTTCTGCATAGAGGCTCTCAACAGGGGAAGAACGAAAAGCACCAAGGCATAAACGTAATCCTTGGTAATGAATGGGGTTAAGGCTAGAGAGAGTAGCAGGAGAGGCCGCTGAATAGATCTGGTCACCATAATCAAGTTTCGATAAAATGAGGGTGGAATGTAGGCGAAGGAGAGTTCGACGATCAGCTCCCCATGAAAGATGAGCAAGGCATTTAAGAAGGTTCAGCCGGCTTTGAGAAAGTAAAAATAAGTGCTAGTTTAAGTTTACTGGGGATAAGATGAATTACCTTTTTCCTCCTTCTGATTACCTTGGGATTCTGTGTGTTCTGGAGATATTTTAGAAGTCTCTATCTTCACATAGTTTTCTATACTTGACGTGCACATCATGCAATAAGAGCATCTTCAAATCACGGAACGAATGGAATTAGAACCCATACCCGTACCATGGTTGGCTTGCAATCGTGTTATTAAGATTTCTTAAGTCAAGAGCATCTTTTTCAGGATATAGTGCAGTATGTGGTTTATGAGAAGTACTCCACCAATCTTGTCCTTGATGGTGATCCTAATGTCAGGATCTGGCAAGGATCACCAAGGCGAGCGATACTGACGTTAGTGACTGGCAATGTTCTCCAGAGTAAGGTAATTTGACGTTAGTGACTGGCAGTGTTCTCCAGAGTAAGTGAATCTGACGTTAGTGACTGGCAAGGTTCTCCACAACTAATGAATCTGACGTTATTGACTGGCAAGGTTCTCCACAATTAGTCAATCTGACGTTAGTGACTGGCAAGGTTCTCCACAACTAATGAATCTGACGTTATTGACTGGCAAGGTTCTCCACAATTAGTCAATCTGACGTTAGTGACTGGCAAGGCTCTCCACAGATAGTGAATCTGACGTTAGTGACTGGCAAGGCTCTCCGCAGTTAGTGATTCTAACGTTAGTGACTGGCAAGGTTTTTCAAGGCCAGTGATAGTTATGATAGTGCCTGATAAGATTCTTCGAACCCAGTTATTAGGGTGTTAGTATCTGACAAGGTTTTTATAAGGCCAATGAAACTAATGTCAGTGTCTGGTAAGGTTATACAGTTCTGGAATGCAACATCCGGATATGTTGTCCTGTGTGGGGTTGAAATGGGCGAGTCCAAATTTTGTACTCCTCTTTCTTGCTATACTTTCCCAAGCATTGTAATAATATTATTAATAATCTTCCTAGGTAGTAGGTTGGTAGACAGCAACCACTCAAGGAGGTACTACCGTCCTACCAAGTGAGTAAAACGAAAGCCTGTAATTGTTTTATATGATGGTAGGATTGCTGGTGTCTTTTTACTGTCTCAAACATGCAAGATTTCAGGTATGTCTTGCTACTTCTACTTACACTTAGGTCACACTACACATGCATGTACAAGCATATATATACACACCTTTCTGGGTTTTCATCTATTTTCTTACTAGTTCTTGTTCTTGTTTATTTCTTCTTATCTCCATGTGGAAGTGGAAAAGAATTCTTCCTCCATAAGCCATGTGTGTCGTATGAGGCGAAAAAAATGCCGTGAGCAAGGGGCTAGTAACCCTTTTTCCTGTATACATTACTAATGTTAAAAAGAGAAACTTTCGTTTTTTGTATTGGCTACCCCTGCCTCGGTGGGATACTGCCGGTTTGTCGAAAGAAGAACAAGATTTATTATTATTTGTACAAGTACATGTACAAGGTATACAGACCTAGTTGACATCAATGACATACTACTACACAGAAAACCCCTTGTTATGCAGAGCATTTCGGGCAAAGAAGGTCAGTCTTGTCCCTGATGCTAGGTGAACAAGGACAGACGGTGTCTTAAACACATCCTAATGCTTCCAGTTGTGTGATGAATGGTTTTGGAAACCGACAAGTTGAAGAATTGCGACACTTATGCAACATATGGGAATCTTTATTGAAGAGACGTTTCTCCACACAGTGGCTTCATCAGTCCAATACAAAGTAGAAATGGGTAAGGAGAGGAGTTTGAGTTTGAGGCTGAGGGACTGATCCCTTCAAACTCCACCTCTCCTTACCCATTTCTACTTTGTATAAGATTGATGAAGCCACTGTGTGGAGAAACGTCTCTTCAATAAAGATTCCCATATGTTGCATAAGTGTCTCAGTTCTTCAACTTCCAATTGCACCATGGATTGATAATGTGCAAGATGAGTGTGCTAACATTCGACCTAGGGAACACAAACCCAAATGGAATAAATATTCAAGCATTTCTGGGGCATTTTCTGCTACTACAAAAGAAAAATGCAATTATGACTCACGAAGCCGTAATAACGCAATTGCCAACAAGTCACAGAACAAGTAAAACTTCAACCTTGGCATGAGAGTTTCAGAACTCGCCTGCCATGATTTCGAGCTCCTCCCATTCTGACATATGAATACAGTTTAATTCTTTTATCAAAGAAATTGTTATATCTATGGTATATAAATACATATATAATATTTGCAGAACCAATAAAATCATCATAAAAACATCTTACCTGAAATTGTAAATGGCTGGTCATCCCCGTCGAGGCTATAGGCGATGACGGAAGCAATAATAACAACAATAGCATTGCGTCCAACAGAGACGTAGAAAATTGTATTTCTTAAAACCCGCTGACGCAGACTACGACTTTTGTTGTCCAGACACGACCACCGCACACTGCGAACCTCCTGAATCAATTTGAATTAATTTGAAATTATAGAAAATGGATACAACTTTGTGGTAACAGAAGACAGGAGTAACTAATGAGATATTTAATGGTGCTACGTTTGTCTCTCCAGAAGCTTTATAAAGCCAAATAATGCAAGAACACAAGATTAATAAAGGGAACAAGGAGAAAAATAAATGCAGTATATTGCGATCTTTATTGAGAAGATAGCGTTAACCCATACCACGGGTGCGGTTTGAACCCGCGGTCAGTCTCAAAACTCCAGACCGTCGCGTTAGCCACTGGACCAGCTAGCTACAATAAGATTCATCCAACTAGGTATATTTATATACCATAGGAAGGTTAGCATAGGCACCACTGTGACCACAAATGCAAGTTTTTACAGACTAATCTCCAGCTACCGTGGCCGTGACGAACTCTAGCTCATGTTAACGGCTTTGAGGGGACTTGAGCTAGAGTTCGTCACGGCCACGCTAGCTGGAGATTCGTCTGTAAAAACTTGCATTTGTGGTCACAGTGGTGCCTGTGCTAACCTTCCTATGGTATATAAATATACCTAGTTGGATGAATCTTATTGTAGCTAGCTGGTCCAGTGGCTAACGCGACGGTCTGGAGATTTGAGACTCTCTGACCGCGGGATCAAACCCCACCCGTGATATGGTTTGTTTGCCATCGTGTCATTACGATTTCGTGAGTCAAGATAGCGTTATATTGCACTTATGCTTCTTTCCGTAAAAGGAAAATGGTGAGGTGCAGGAACATGGTGAAGTGTAGAAAGATGGTGAGGTGCAGGAACATCGTGAGGTGTAGAAAGATGGTGAGGTGCAGGAAGATAGTGTGGTGTAGGAAGATGGTGAGGTGCAGAAAGATGGTGAGGTCCAGGAACATGGTGAGGTGCAGGAAGATGGTGAGGTGCAGGACGATGGTGAGGTGCGGGGAGATAGTGAGGTGTAGAGAGATGGTGAGATGCAGAAAGATGGTGAGGTGCAGAAACATTGTGAAGTGCAGGAAGATGCGAGGTGCAGGAAGATGGTGAGGTGTAGAAAGATGGTGAGGTGCAGGAACATGGTGAGGTGCAGGAACATGGTGAGGTGCAGGAATATGGTGAGGTGCAGGAGCATGGTGAGGTGCAGGAGCATGGTGAGGTGCAGGAGCATGGTGAAGTGCAGGAGCATGGTGAAGTGCAGGAATATGGTGAGGTGCAGGAACATGGTGAGGCGCAGGAACATGGTGAGGCGCAGGAACATGGTGAGGTGCAGGAACATGGTGAGGTGCAGGAACATGGTGAGGTGCAGGAACATGGTGAGGTGCAGGAACATGGTGAGGTGCAGGAACATGGTGAGGTGCAGGAATATGGTGAGGTGCAGGAACATGGTGAGGTGCAGGAACATGGTGAGGTGTAGACAGATGGTGAGGTGCAGAAAGATGGTGAGATGCAAGAAGATGGTGTGGTGCAGGAACATGGTGAGGTGCAGGAGCATGGTGAGGTGTAGGAGCATGGTGAGGTGTAGAAAGATGGTGAGGTGCAGGAACATGGTGAGGTGTAGAAAGATGGTGAGGTGCAGGAAAATGGCGAGGTGCAGGAAGATGGTGAGGTGCAGGAAGATAGTGAGGTGCAGGAACATGGTGAAGTGCAGGAACATGGTGAGGTGCAGGAACATGGTGAGGTGCAGGAATATGGTGAGGTGCAGGAACATGGTGAGGTGCAGGAACATGGTGAGGCGCAGGAACATGGTGAGGCGCAGGAACATGGTGAGGTGCAGGAACATGGTGAGGTGCAGGAACATGGTGAGGTGCAGGAACATGGTGAGGTGCAGGAACATGGTGAGGTGCAGGAACATGGTGAGGTGCAGGAACATGGTGAGGTGCAGGAACATGGTGAGGTGCAGGAACATGGTGAGGTGCAGGAACATGGTGAGGTGCATGCCACTATAACTAGCAGGAGCTAGTAGAACCAGTAGGCCCATATTTGTAATAATAGTCCTTGTTCTGTGTAATTATGTCTAAAACAGAGATTAAAGATATTATGACTGGAATAAGTTGTGAACTATGATTACAACAACATAAACATAGCATTAGATTACAACAATAGACTGAAGAAGCCTACTGTGTAGGCGAAACGTTTCGAAATAAAGATACCTAACTGTTGTGATGAATGGTTTTGAAAAACCGACAGTATATAAGCCACGTCTACGGCCCTATGCTGTACATTCTACAAGATTGATGGACTGAACACATCGACTCCAGGTTGAGGGACTGATTACCTCATTCTCCTCCTCTCCTTACGCCTTCCTCTTTGTATTGGACTGATGAAGCCACTGTGTGGCGAAACGTTTCCTGAATAAAGATTCCCATATGCTGCATAAGTGTCTCAATCTTCATACCTAACTGTTGCATATGTGTCTTACCTAACAATCTGTCGGTATTTTATACCATTTTAATGTTCAATATAAATATAACATTGGAATTAGACACGAGTCTAATGCTCTGTTTATTCATGTGAGAGATTTTAACCACCCAGTTCATTTTTAAAAGTCCACGAAGACTGTATCAAGCAGGTTAAGTGAAATATAATCGAATTATGTGGGTAAAAGGAAACATGTATTTTCTGGACGAGAGCTCAAAATAATTAGAATGAATTTAAAATAAGGCCTGAGCTTGCTACCACCTGCAGCTCACAAGACTGCCATCCCCACGAGCCCCTTTGGGGCGGGGCAGATGGCAGACCAGAGGCCTAGCTTCTCCCTACGAGCCCCGTGAGGGCGGGGAATGTGGCTAGGCCTGGGGACAGTTGGTCCCAAAGATGAGGGGGTACTTGTACCTCCTCCCATGGGAGACTTAAGTCTCGAGACACTCCCCAGATAGGGAGCCAAGGCCGGGTCACCACTACTTGGAAAAGACCCGAGCCGGGAGAATACCGGCGAATAAAAAAAAAAAAAAAAAGAATGAAGTTTCCATATTGGTTAAGGAAAACTCGTGACATATTAAAGAGGCAGTTCTTTCATTATAATAATATTTCTATCTAATATCTTTATTTTGACAAGTAAATGTACAAGGTATCTTAGCTGACATCAATGATATACTGCTATACAGGAAGCCGTTTGTTATGCCGAGCATTTCGGGCAAATTAGGTAAATTTTGTCCCAGGCTGTACATTACCATTCATGGGTATTAGACACAAAAAACAAAAGCAGTAACTTAACAAAAGGCTATTTTTTTTTTTAACACGTCGGCCGTTTCCCAGCGAGGCAAGGTGACCCAAACAGAAAGAAAAAACTTTAATCATATTTCCACACTATCACCATCATTCATGCATATTCACAGTCAGATACGCCAGTTTAGATGTCACTCCAAACACCCAATATCCCAAAGTGTTCTTTTAAAGTGTAGACATTGTACTTCCCATTTCCAGGACTCAAGTCCGGCTTACCGGTTTATCTGAATCCCTTCAAAAACTGCTACCTTGCTCACACTTCTTCAGCTCGTCAGGTCACAAAATCCATTTCGTCTTCATTCTCTCCTATATAACACGCTCACGCACGCTTACTTGAAGTCCAAACCCCTCGCCCAGAAAAACCTCCTTTACCCCTTCCCTCCAACCTTTCTTAAGACGACCCCTACCCATCCTTCCTTTCCCTACAGATTTATACACTCTCCAAATCACTGTACTTTTTTCCATCTTCTCTATACCACCTAACCCCTTCAACGGCCCCTCTTCAACCCTCTGACTACTACATTTAGTAACTCCACGCCTCCTCCTAATTTCCAGACTATGAATTCTCTGCATAATATTTACACCACACGTTGCCCTTAGACAAGACATCTTCACTGCCTCCAGCCGCCTCCTCGCTGCAGCATTTACAACCCAAGCTTCACACCCATATAAGAGTGTTCGTATCACTATACTCTCGTACATTCCTTTCTTTGCCTCCATGGATAACATTTTATGCCTCCACAAATACCTCAAAGCATAACTCACCTTTTTCCCTTCGTCATTTCTATGGTTAACCTCATCCTTCATAAACCCATCTGCTGACAATGTGATATTCAATATTTCTTCATCTAAATCGTTTGATTATTAATTTTTACATTAACATAAATGAAAAAATATATCTCTAATCGTATAAGAGAAAATTGTAGAAAGGACTTAATATTAAATGAATTCCTGTTAATTGACCAGTTTTACCTATTCGTCATATATTATATATATATATATATATATATATATATATATATATATATATTATATATATATATATATATATATATATATATATACAAAACAACCACTCTGAAAGAATAGAGAAATTCCAAGTTCCTTGATAATGTGAGTAGTCACGAAAGCACTTGGAATTTCTCTATTCTTTCAGAGTGGTTGTTTTGCATATTTTGAAATCACCTGTTTACTGTGATCTTATTGCATATATATATATATATATATATATATATATATATATATATATATATATATATATATATAATATATATATATATATATATATATTAATGACGATTTACCATTGCCAGTTCCTATCATTAAACTTATTGTACACTATTATTGTACACTATTATTGTACACTATTATTATACACTATTATTGTACACTATTATTCATCACATCAAGAGTTAAACTGTCGATATTGTCATCAATGTTTTTGAGAGCTTTGCGTATCAGCAGTCCAGAGTTCATAGATGAAAAAATCTCAAAAATTTATGAAATAGCTAATCTAAAATACCCAAGAATCTTTATTGATAAATCCTTTAAAATTGCTAGAAATACTTTTTACAACCCAAAAAGGGACAACCAACAATATTCAACTAAAGATATGTTGGTTCTCCCTTACCATGAAAACTTGGTTGATATGCCTTCTCTTCTTAAGACTTTTTATATCAAAGTTGTTTTTAAAAATCTTGTTACAATAAAAAAAAAACTTGATAAAAAATTCCCCCCAAAATGTTGACGGATGTGTCTAAGATTCCTTGTAAATCTGCGATAAAGGT